TCTGCATTACAGCAATAACCCAATAGTATCATTACCAATATATTACTAATATTACGATTACTCAGTTACTCTAATCTGGTACTGAGGATTTAATAATTCATGCCAGCTATATGAGATAAATGTGTAACTACTTCAAATGAGATGGGCAAAATAAAGACATGCCATCATTTATTTTTTCTAATTTCTTGAGATAACCAAAACTACTCTTCTTTTGCAAGAACTATTTTTTTTTCTCATTGTAAAAGTTGGTATTAAAACTTTTGTATGTTTAATAATGTGTGTATAGATTTCTGGGTTATAATGGCTGTATACTAATGGTATTTAAGTTGTTATCACCTACCATCCAAGCATAAATATTAAAAAGTTGCAAGGGATGAACATAGGGTAAATATTATTCAATTGCTCAATTACTAACTTAAGTGTATGTACCCACTTTATTTCCATTATCATCCATGACATTCACATGAAAGTTAGATTTGAAAATACAGTTATAACTAACACACTCTATTTTGTATGTGCTAGTCATGCTTCTAAGAAGCTGACACATTCTAAATGATGTGTGTGTGTGTGTGTGTGTGTGACATCAAATTTACGCAGTAGGTAGTAATATCATTGCATATATATATATACGTATATATATATATATTATACATATATATATATAAAATGAGTCTCAGAAACTTTAAATAACTTGCCAAAGGTTAACAGGTCATAAGTAAGATATGTTATTTGAACCCAGGCTCTATAATAACAGTTCTTAACCACTACACTTTGATCATAAAAAAGATTATTTTGAAAAAAAATATCCTAGGACTTTATCACTTGGGACCCACTCACTCCTTTCCATCTGAACATTCTCTTTAGATCTTGTGAAATGAATATACCATCTCAATCTTTTTTGATTTTTTTTCTTCTAGATCTTCAACTACCAATGACAAATCTACAAGTGTACTATCATAAATTTTATCAACTTCATAAAAATTATTTTAAAAGTCCAAAATATCACTTTGCTATCAATTTGTATTTCATACTTGAATATTTTCAACATAAGAACATTAGCCCCAGACTGGAAGACTAAACATAGAGTTACAGATGTTTATGTTATTAAGCTAGAGTAGTAAAGAGATGGATTGAACGTGATTTATTTCTATTATCAGTCAATTCATTTTAGCAAATATTTTCTTGCTATAACATGTTGTTAACTGTGATTCTAAAGGTCCTACTCTTTTAACTATTAATTTTTTAATGTATGTTCTCTCAATTAGACAGGCTCTGTGTTCTAATTTACATGAAAATCTGTAAGATTCCCCATTCATTATGGGGAATAAAAATAGAATGTGGGTAGACAACTTTCATGCTACAATTATAAAACCTCAAAGTCAAATTATATTCTTTAATTTTTACTTGTCACTGGCAGTATCTTACATTTCTGTTAATAATATCTTATAAATTATTAACAGACACCATTAAGATCCTTTCCCTTTTTACTCTTCTAAGTTAAATTATTTGAAAATTCCATATTAAATGATGGTATTATATGTTTCTGCATTTATTAATAAAACTGTATGTATTATTGGTTATAATACTTGCAAAAGATCTTTAAAAAGTACCTGAAATCTAAAAATACTCACATCAAAATAGTATTTGTGCCATTCATATCTAGGTGTTTATTATATTTTTTCAAGATTACTTGTTACAACCTTCTGTTTTTCTTGTCGTTAAGTTCTGCGTTTTTGTTTATGTTGTTTTTTTCATAGTTGATTATTTACAGATGAGATACTGACATTTTCACAACACACTAGGTGGGAATGACTTATGTAGTATGGGATGTATTCAGAAGGAAGCCAGTAAATCTCCCAAATCTTTCCTTGCATGTACCTCATGGATGGCCAAGAAAGAAATGGGTTTCTGAAGATGACTTTCAGATGAATTGGAAGGGGACTTTTCAGACATAAAGTGAGTCCAAATCAAAGCTAACAGAGAAAACACAACTAAATTTGGTAGCAGATGAACTTCATTATGAGTTGAGTTGTATCTTCTCAACAGATATTTTAAAGACCTAATCCTGAGGACCTCAGAACATAACATTTTGTGTTTCTTGGAAATAGGGTTGTTGAAGATATAACTAGATAACTGAAAATGAGGTGATGCTGTAGTAGGGTGGCCCCTTAATCCAATATGACTGGTGTCCTTCAAGAAAAGGCAATGTGTTGTGAAGACAGGCACACCTGTCTTTGTTTGTTTGTTTGTTTATTTTATTTTTTTTTCAACGTTTATTCATTTTTGGGACAGAGACAGACAGAGCATGAACGGGGGAGGGGCAGAGAGAGAGGGAGACAGAATCGGAAACAGGCTCCAGGCTCTGAGCCATCAGCCCAGAGCCTGACGTGGGGCTCGAACTCCCGGACCTCGAGATCGTGACCTGGCTGAAGTCGGATGCTTAACCGACTGCGCCACCCAGGTGCCCCTGTTTGTTTGTTTATTTTGAGAGAGAGAGAGAGAGAGAGAATCCCAAGGAGGCTCTGTGTTGACAGTGGGATCTCATGAACTATAAGATCACGACCTGAGCCAAAATAAAGAGTGGGCTGCTTAACCCACTGAGCCACCCAAGCGCCCTGAGGCTGAATGATGGTATCTACAAGCCAAGGAATGCCAAAGAATGCCTAGCACTACCTGAAGCTGAAAAAGACAAGCAAAGATCCTCCCCCAGTTACTTCAGAGGGAGCATGGCTTAGCCAACTCCTTGGTTTTAGACTTTGAGCCCCTAGAACTGAAGGACAGGTTGATATAGCCACCCACATTCTGTTATTTTGTAATGGCTGCCTAGGAAACAAATACTAACTTGAATGTAGCATAAACTTGAAATAGGTATAAAGTGCTGTCACTGCCATTTTCTAGTGAGTAGCAGTTTTCCATTTGGATTTAGATGTAGGTACTATGATAATAACTGGATTTCGTCAGATCATGTTTTGTACCCAACCAGTGGTTACAGTGATGTAGATACATTAATAAAAACTAATAAATATATGTAAAATATGTAATATATAATAATATATAATACACAAAATAAAAGCAAAAGCAAAACCACAATATATTCCAATATGTCAGGCCCGCATAGACCAAGGTGACATGACTGAATTTTATTTTCATTTTAATTAACTAGTCATTTCTTATCATTACTATAAATATAAAATTCTAAAGAGTTTCATTCTTGAAAAATAAATCATGAAGTAAATGATAACATAGGTATCTTAATTAAAAATTTTCTGATTTTACTCTAAAATTCCAGAGTTCAATTCTTTAAATCCCAATGCCTGGATTTAGTAACTTCTCAATAAATGCAGGCTAAATTAAAGAAGATAAGGAAAATGATATATATTTTAATTTACTGGAATGGCAAGAACTGTAATTAATTTACTTAGAGAGTCACTTTGATATAAAGTCTTGAAACTAAGTTACACTATTCCAAAGCTTAGAAATCCTTGTATAATCGAACCAATATTCCACAATGTCAGATTCTTTATATAGACCATAAAATTAACCATAAGAGATGAATGGCATGGTGTTATGGAGATAAACTACTGGATTTTTTTTAAAACTATATTAACTGCCAAGCACTGCAGCAAAATCCACCTTAATAAACACTATAAGGATTATTAAGAATTCAGAAAACTTCTTCAGTGCTATAACCATTTTCCTAGATTGGTCACCCTAGATTGGCTTTTTTTCTCCATTACTCCCTAAAACTTGTATACGTTTTTGGAGAAAACTTATGTCTCTTATTTCACATTTCTATACTACCTACAACTAGTTTAGTTTCTTAAATCTGGGTATTATAATTTCCTTCAAACTGTTCTGTCTCCATGACACACACATAAAAGTATTTGTATTTTTTTTCCAAATGGTTCACATAAAGACCTTTTGTTTATTCAAATATTCTCTTTACTGACAAATTTCTTATCACATATTTCATTTGGTGACAATTTTCAAATAAGTGAAATTTAACAATGTGGACCTAATACTAGACCTAGATTAACTATATCCTAATTGATCTTTGATTATTGGAAAAATAAAATAGGTCAGAAATTTAATACCTTCTTAAATGATGTATTTACATCATGTTATAGATGTGCTCAATTGCTGGTGAATAGTTTCCTTGAATATTGGATACACAAGTTTTTACTGAGTGATAGAAAATTAAACATTATAAAAGGCTTCAGAACATATCTGAAGATATCTTATAAATTTGTAAGGTAAAGAACTGATGATTCCTTAAGGTATTTAAGGTACAGAAACCTATCAAAAGTAGCTATCTTATTTTGAACTCTAAAATATCATATAAATGTTATTTGAAATTAATATTGTTGTTAGAGTAGTGTTAGAAGTAAAACAACACCAAGACCCAAAACCAAACCATTTTGGTCCTAAAACAGTCCTAAAATGGCATAATTTAGGCCAAATCCTCAAACTGGGGTTTAATACGTGATCTAATGGCAGTTCAACCTTCCCCAGAAATGTAGTCTTAACGGGTCGGTCAGGAATTTTTCAATCAGCCCCAGTGGGTCTGCTGCTTGGTCCTTTTCCATCCCACAAAAGATGATGAGGTAATCGACATAACAGCCCTAGCCTTTCCAGCTAAGGGAAAGCAGCCTTGCCGGGAAAAATCTTTCTCTTTTGCTAATAATTTTCTTGCCCCACTCTCCTGCAAAAACTTTCCATTTGTACAACTTCCCAAGTGCCTCTCTATTTGCTAGATGGGATGCTGCCCAGTTCATGAATTGAATAGCAAAGCCAATTAGATTTTTGAAATTGACTCACTTGAATCAAATCTTTGTTATTTAACAGCAGTCACATTTTACTCTTAAAAATATGTTTTGTCCACACTTTCAAATAATACAAATTAAATACATATTTATTAATATAGAATAAATTCACACAGATATAAATATATTGTACATGTGATTTTTAAATAAGCTTGTTAATTTAATCATTAATCATACCTGAGTTAGTTCATTAATATCTACAAGTCCGTTACTGTCGGCATCAAAAGATTTAAACATTTGATCCACCAACGACTTCTTCCAAGACAGGTCATCACCGTTAGGGTTTTCATTTTCTTGTGTAATATATTTTTGATTTTGTAAATCTAAAAGCATGCTTTTCATCTTGTTGTATTCAGTGGTCTTGCAGTTATTTCCTGTAAAAGAAGAACTAAGTTATTTTCAAAGCAATATTATTGAAAAGGAATCATTTTTTGTTTTAATGTTAAGAAATTGATATCTTATAAATAATATACTTGGTACATAATTTTTGTCTTCCAACTTGTACAAGGTTAAAATAATAGGATATTTTCATTTGTATCAAATCTAATAAAAACATGTTTACTGTGTGCTTTCTCTAGGATAAAGTAATTGGTTCTATGAGGGGTTTAGAAACACATGATAGCTCCAATTGTTTAAATACATTATCTTAGTTTTTTTAAGGTGTTTTTTTTAATGTCCATTTATTTATTTTTGAGAGAGAGAGAGGGTAGGGGAGGTGCAGAGAGAGGGAGACAGAATCTGAAGCAGGCTCTGGGCTGTCAGCACAGAGCCTGCAGAGCCCAAGAAGGTGCTGGAATCCAGGAATCCTGAGATAATGACCTGAGCATAAGTCAGATGTTTAATGAACTGAGCTACCCAGGTGGCCCCATTATCTTAGTTTTAATCCTCACCATACATTCCTATATAGATAGTTTCATCGGTTTTAACATGAAGTACAGGGAGTTGAAATAACTTGCCCAGCAAAGAGTTAGATTGTGTTGGATTTTTGCACTTGAGCTCATATATATATATATATATATATATATATATATATATATATATATATCTGGTTTCAAAATAGGATAGCATATATTAACTGGAAGTATGCTTTTTACACGTGAATTTGTTTTGAAGATGTCTGTATGCATGTGTTTACATTTATAAAAATCCTATTCCCAATGATGCTGAGTTCTTATTTGTATTCTTCTAAAAGACTTTAATTATTTTTCTGATATTTGTTTATCTCTCCTTTAGGAGCACAGTGTATTACATGATATGTGTTTGCACCTTGTATCTCCAAGTTTTAACTTTGCAAATTTCATCTCCACAAATGAAGTATAAGCTCATTGCACTAACAATGCATCAAAGATTTTCAGTATTTCCCATAAAATAACCAGGACAATACTGGCAACATCAGAATTAGTGAAAATGATTGCTTAGCTTAATGTCTTCAAAAATAACTGCAATTTTCACACAATTGTCTTACAAAGGATTTTTTTTTACACTGGCCCCCATGATAATGTCTTTAAATAGTACAATGGAAAGTAGTATATACTACTGATAGCAAATGTGATATAAAATATATTATAGAAAATACAGTGCCTAATGTAATTTGTAAATGAAAAAAAGTAGGTATTAGCCAAGAATTTTTACAATGTACTTTTAGAGAAAATACTAACTTTATAATTGTCAATATTGACAATTAGGCTTTAACAGAATCTACAATTTTAAAAGATGTCCAAAGATTTTTAAATATATGTCTAAGAAGTATGGCATTGAAAAACAGGATTTGAAGTCTCATTCTCTTTCAAGACAAGCTGGAAACAATCTCTTCTAGAGAGATGAGAGACTGTCTTATTTTTCAAAGATAGTGAAATAGCTATTGTTGTTCAGCAATTTTAGTGTTTGGCAATCCTGTCAAGAACTTCTTTTTTTACAACAAAACATAAACTTTGTGCTGCAGATTAAGTCAATTTTGCATTATTCCATTCTCAGTAAAAAATAATGCTAAAAATGTTTTCATAATAGCAAAGAAATCACTGACAAAAGAGAGAAGTAATCAGATCTAGAGGGGATAGGTAGCAATTTTGGTGTCCATGAAAGTGACAGAAAAGAAGCCTTCAAACGTGTGTGTGCCTGTGATTCTGTGTGTGTGTGCCCACATGCGTATACAGAGGAAGAGAGAGAAATGTGTGATAAAAGAATGAGAAAAAGGATAATAGACCATTGCAATAGCCCTCCATGGAATTTCTGATTTGACCTTGGGTTGGTATCTCCTTTGACTGATGCTGAGTAGGGTTGAATTTAGGGGAGCTGATATTGGACCATAGGCAATGTGGAGACCAGAATGTTGGTGAGAGACAATGGGAATCAGGGCTTAAATGCTGAAAACCTGCTAACTAATATTTAAAATTTGAGGAACAAGGAAACAGTTTGAGTTGTTCATTTTAATTTTGATAAAACTGAGTAATGTGATCATCATAGTGATCCTATTAATATTTTCATTTCCCAACTTGTAAATTTCCTTGGAAGTTCAGGTGGCTGCTGGCAATCCAAAGAAAATAAAAATAAAAGCATGGCAGTGAAGACATTTATAGTCCACAGAAATGTACAAGAAGTAGTTATGCAATTATGTAAAACTTTGTAGAATTTATAGATTTAATAAAATTTCTGTCACAGATTTTTTTTAGTAATAAATAGGAACATCTGCTATTAACAATAAATTACATGTAATGAAGATTTCTTACGTGTCAGGAAGTTTATACATTTTAAATTAGTTATTCCTCACAACAGTCCCAGAAGAAAGACAACTATCACCATTTTATAGATGAGGAATTAAGGCACAGAAAAATTAAATAATTGTTCAAAGTTACAGAACTAGAAAGGAGCAGAGTGATTTTTTTTATTTAAAAAAATTTAATGTTTATTTTTGAAAGAGAGAGAGAGAGAAAGTGGGGGAGGGGCAGAGAGAGAGGGAGACACAGAATCTGAATCAGGCTCCAGGCTCTGAGCTGTCAGCACAAAGTCCTATGCGGAGCTTAAACTCACAAACTGTGAGACCATGACCTGAGCCAGAGTCAGCCCCTTAACCCACTGAGCCACCCAGGCAACCCCAGAGTGATTTTTATATACAAGCAATATCCCTTCTATCTTTTATTCTCTGCTTCTCTTATCTTCAGAACTGAGTTTTAAGATCAACTTTTACATGTGATTCAGTAAATTTGTCCAAGGATTATTTGTAAAGAGAAAGATAAACATCATAATAAACACTAGGCAAGTAGAGAAAAAAATAACTCACAAAGGAAAAAGAAAAAGGTCTATCTGAGAACTAGCACGAAAATACTGAAAAGGAAGCTAAAGGGAAAAGAACTCAAGAAAGAGGGTCTGATGAGATGTCAAATGTTTCAGAGTAAAAGTAAGATAGACAATAAAACAGACCCATCGAATTCCTTAAACTGTAGGTAACTGGTGACTTTAAAGAAAGATTTTAGTAAATAAATGGAGCATTTTTAAAAAAATCTAGAATCTCCTTTTTTATTATATGTCTTTTTCCCATTGATATTTTTCTATTTTGTTTTAATTTTAGTATGGGTAACATACATTGTTATATAGTGATTCAACACTTCCATAAATCACCCAGTACTCATCATGCAAGTGCACTCCATAATCCCCATCACCTGTTTCACCAATCCCCCCACTCACCACCCCTCTGGTAACCATCTGTTGGTTCTCTATTAATAGAAAACAGAGTTAAGAGTCTGTTTCTTGGCTTCCCCTCTCTCTTTATCTCTTTTTTCTTTGTTTTGTTTCTTAAATTCCACATATGAGTGAAATCACATGGTATGTGTCTTTTTCTGACTTATTTCTCTTAGCATTATACTCTCTAGCTATATCCATGTCATTGCAAATGGCAAGATTTCATTCTTTTTTTTATAGCCGAATAATATTCAGTGATATATGTGTGTGTGTGTGTGTGTGTGTGTGTGTGTGTGTGTGTGTGTATTTCTTTATCCATTCAACTATTGATGCTGCTTCTGCAATTTGACTGTTCTAAATTATGCTGCAATAGACATAGAGGTTCATATATCCCTTTGAATTAATGTTTTTTTGTAGTTTTGGGGTTAATACCCAGTAGAGCAATTGCTGGATCATAGGGTAGTTCTATTTTTAACTTTTTGAGGAATCTCCTTACTTTTTTCCATAGTGGCTGCACAAGTTTGCATTTACACCAACAGGGCACAAAGGGTTCTTTTTCTCCACATCCTCACCAACACTTGTTTTTCTTGTGTTTTGACTAGCTATTCTGACAGGTACGAGCTGATATCTTACTGTTGTTTTGATTGCATTTCCCTGATGGTGAGTGATGTCGAACATCTTTTCATGTGCCTGTTGGCCAACTGCATGTCTTCTTTGGAGGAGTGTCTGTTCATATCTTTTGTCCATTTTAAATTGGATTATTTGTTTTTTGGTGTTGGGTTCTAGAAGTTCTTTATAAAATTTGGATACTAACCCTTTCTCAGACATGTCATTTGCAAATATCTTCGAAATGCAGCAGAATTCTTATTATAATGGGTTAAGGAGCAAAAACAGTGAAGATTTGGCATTAGTAAATATTTACTACATTTTTAGTGAAAGAAAAAGAATTAGCATTATTAATGAAACAGAATAGATATTTAGAAATAAATATCAATTAATAGATATTTGGAAATCATGGACTCATCCATGAATAACATCAGGCAGGAGGGTAAGAAATTTTTGTTCATCTGCTTTGATAAGATTCCTTTCTCAAAGATTAATCAACAGGCAGTGTTTGATTGGTATAGGTAAGAGAAAGAAATATTTTCCTGGATTTACCTCCTATTCTCGGAGACCAGTAAGAGATCTCTTCTGCGTTTCCTGTTTTAGACACTGAGAACAAGACAAATGAGATGCCTATTGGTGGTATCTATTCCATCATCTTTCCCATGAATGCAGTGACAGTGAGGTTGTGCTGATTCTTGATTCAGAGTCATTCAAAGGGAAGTTAAAATCCATCTGGCCTTGGGGGGCCGGGAAGGATGCAGAATCTCTGACATTCAAATGGCTGCACCTGTGTAGCTAGCTGGCAGTACCTCTCCAAGTCTCTATGGAACCAAAGATAATTACATTTTATACATCCTATAGTACATCCATCTGTTTGAGGACATGGTAAGTGCTAAAAATTATAGATTATATCAATTATCCTTAGTGTTATGTTTTCCAAAGGCTGTTTTTATCTTTTTGAAATTACACTTTTATCCCTCTCCGATCCATCAATAAAAATTACCTATTTCCTTCAACACAAAAACATCCAAACCTAAATATATAAGAATATTATTTTTCTTTTTAACATTTATGGTTAAAATTTGATTATTTT